AGTTAATCAAATGTTCCCCGACCAGTTTGAACAAGTCTGCAAGCCAAAAAAACTGCAGATAGTTTACTTGAAGTGCAAGAAAGAGAAATGCAGGTACTCCAATTTCTTCCATTCATATGCAGTTTGCTAATTGGTGAAAGTATGTTTTCAAGTTTCTATGTCAAAGTCAGTCTTAACTTTTTAAATGTTTAACTATGACGACAACCTTCACAAATTGCTTTTAGTTATCTAACCATAACCATACAAACTCATGATGCTTTATTTCCTACAAGTGTCGAATGTAGGAAAAACATATGAAAGCTGCAGATATGTTTAACATAACATAACAACAGCAGTTTGTTGATATGTTAATATAAAAGAAAACATTGTGGGTTGTAAGGTAACCTGTAAACATACAAAGTAATATTTACATTCATTGTGTGTATCTTTGAGGTCTAACAAATGTGCTGAATGCTTTACCTTCCTCATAAAATATGTTTTTACCTAATATTTAAAGTCTTGCATCCACATTTATTAGCTCGCAGTCTTCTTCTTCATAAAAAAAAAAAAAAAAAAGGACCCCCCTTTTTATTGGTCAAAAACTCCATGGGGTACCATTAAGTTTCCATTAAAATGTATTTAGCTGAAGCCAAATAGTGGCATATGAATGTAATTCCTGGGAGAAACATCTGCATAATACTGACCAAAAATGTTCACAAGCAACCTGAATATATTTGATAATCTGAGTATAAACTTATAGTTTTAGTTATGACAATCAGACATCAACTTCTCCTGCATGTAAACATAATCACCATACGTTTTTTTTACTCTCTATGTTTCTTCCGGTTTGTCTTTGTTTCTGTTTCTCTCTCTCTCTGTGTGTGTGTGTGTGTGTGTGTGTGTGTGTGTGTGTGTGTGTGTGTGTGTCTCCTCCTGTTCATCAGTCTCTCCAGCAGCACTGGCCCTCCTCGATGGCTGTCCTCCGATACAGCGTATACTGTAGTTTCGCTTAAGGCTCGATTGTGTGTCCAAGAAAGTCGACGGTGCGATTTCCGTTCTCCTCCTTTAGTCATTTCTTCTCCTTCCGTTTTTTTTGAGCATCCTTCATTCAGGGGGTGACGCTAAGAGCAGTGGATGAAAGGCAGGATGATTTATCACTCTCAGTCCGTTCTCCACTGGACCTCTTTTAACACTTGTTCAGACCCCCTGTGCACATACACAGCTCTTTGGCAATCCATAGGTTGCAATAAAACAATCACTGACATTTTGTTCACACAGTGTCTGTCCATCATTTGGGCATCATACAGTCTGAAAAGCAAAAAAATATAGATATATACCAAAGACAAACCCTAGAATACTGAATCTAAAGCACGACTCCATAACAGCATGTTAGATTTAGATAAACCTCTGATTTTCTGTCTTCCATCTTCCTTTACCTTTCCTCTACTCTTTGTAAAGACTGATAACCTGTAATGGAAAATGTGCCAAAATAGAAAAGGACTGAAGTAACAGTTAAGACCATGGAGTCCAACACAATGCTAAAGAAAGTCTAAAAATGGCGTAAGAGCTCTACAGGGCGGCTACGAACTGAAGCTGGCTTTTCTTTACCTTTTTTCTCCAAATAGACACAAGTCTAAAACAAAACAAAAACAGTCACCATTACTCTTCTATGCCACTGGTTTCACAAAGCGCAGACAAAGCGAGCGCCATATGGCAGGCTAATGGACGTTTGAAACTCACAGAACTCATATCTAAAACGTTCAGAAACAAACAAAAAGAAAAGGTCCTTTTTCATCCTCTTTTCCTTCTTCGCCTTTAGAAATCTAGATTAATTTGAGTTGATATCTTTTAAACTTCTTTAGAGGGGATAGGCATTCACTTGATATGTGTTGATTTCAGTCATAAGTACCCACATTAAATGGTCCACTGGTGCTGAAGTCTTCACCAACAGTCAGAAGCTGGAACTTTTTGATTTATGCATGCCGTCTCTGTTGGCCACATTCAAATTCAAGCTAATGAGGACAAATTTGTTATTGTCCTTCAGCAAAGTACCACTCATGGGTACATGTTAATGAATTTCTCTTCTTCATTAAGAATCCCATTGCCAACATTTAAACCAAACACCCAAGATTGTGTTGTCATTTGATGTCCAAATGTCCAGATTATCATGGGTGCTCTAGTCCATTTCCTTTCTAGCTTCATTTCAGTGGCTTGTGGGTGATATTCTATGGTAGATCTCATTCATATTCATTCCTTCATTCATTCACAGGCTTTTAGAATCGAGCAGGCTCTCTCCTGCAGGCGGAGGAGATATGGTACTGTAGGTAGGGGAGACTGGGGTCAGGTGTTCCCCTAGTTTAGGCCTCATAGCATGTAGGGGTGATCAAGATCACAAGTTCCCACGCAAATAGGTGGGGAAACTCTGGGTTACCCATTTAGACATCAGAGCAGGATACTGGGTAAGGGGACACTGGGGATTGAAATAACAGATAGTGCTTCATTTTCGTCTTTTCTTCGTCCAAACTGAGAACAAAATTACTTTTGCAGGGGATCGTAGGATCACGTGTCTTTCCCCAGAGTTCTCCTCCTCATCTTCATGCCTCTGAGCAGCACCTCTGCTGGTTTATCTTCACTTTATGCTTAATCCCATCGTACAACTCAAAGTTGTAGTTCTCCAGCGTTGTGGAGGAGCGTGAGGATAGGCCGCTGTAGGAGCATGTGCAGTAGAGGAGCAGTCCAGCGCAAACCGCGCCCAGCAGGACGCCTAGAGAGCTCATCACAATGATGGTGAGGAGGATGGGGTCCAGTGTGTACAGCCAGGCGTTGTCCTTGTCTTTCTCTGACACCAGGGTGACGGAGGGGGGATCCACACCAGAAGAGGGGGTGGAGAAAGAGGACGGCCAGCCTGGAAAGACATATCCTGGAGAGAAAACAGGTAACTTTAGAGAAAAACTTCTATACGTAATTACAAGATACTTCAGTTAACAAACCATATAATACCAGTGGTTTTGCATGTGTTCGCCTATTTCCTACAAATCACTTCACATCCCAGCAAACCATATAATTCAGATTTGTGAATGTATTGTTCCAGGCTGTATAGTATGAGAATCAATTAGCAGGATTTTGAAACTTGCTGGAGCTGTGAAATCCATTACAGTGAACATCAAGTCTGCACACATTTTTGCTTGTGTGACAAAACAGTTACATTTCTGACTCAAAGACCTTGAAAAGGTCACATAATTAGGATTGCAACCATAATGTAAAACACAGACTTGATGTCCACCTTAATGGATGACACAACTAAAAAAGTTTATGCAAATTGAGAAATGAATGTAGACTAATACAATAAAAGAAGAGTACATCAAGAAATCAAGTTCAACATGCATTCAGAAATGATGTCCAAAAAATAATTACAAATGTTTTGAAGCTAAAGAGCAAAAAACCTGCACATTTTTGCCTAATTTCTTAGTGCTACTGTTGCTGTAAGTGACAATTTGATAATTAAAAAAGTCATAACTGACTCAGCATGTCACTTACACAGCAGCATCTACTTAAAGTGAACTAACACCAAAAACTAGCAGCAAAACCCCTGAGTGTATTGAACTAAGCAAAGGTGTGTTTTAGGGAGATTAATTTAACTGTATCAGAGGCAAAAGTCCCACAATATGGCTGATAGATTCAAGAACCACTAATTCTGTTAACCACAACAACAGTTGTTATTGACTTCAAAAATGTGAAAAAATAATGAAATGAAATTACTGTAAAGGTGCTCTCTAGTGTGTTTTTGTGAGTGTTGAAGTGTGCACATCTAGTTGGAATAAGCAATCATGCTAATCCACTTAATGAATGTATACACATGAACAAGCCAATCCGCAATTAAGTACTGCATTTAGAGTGTTTTATGGAAGAACAAACTGAAACACATGCACACACGGGGAAGCAGTAAACAGACTTGTTTAGTGAGGTAAAGGCTGAGTACTCTTCTTGTATCTGTCAGGGGGCCAGGAGAAACAAGGGATAGTAACACATGCACATGGGCACACACGGATACTATTCACACACACACACACACACACACACACACACACACACACACACACACACACACACACACACACACACACACACACACACAGGGAGTAAACCATGATTGTTACAGACAGATGTTTTCAAGGTGCCCAGGAGGAAGCTGTCTGTCTCACTTTGTCTGCTACGGAATATGAAAGCGGAGGAGAGGAAACACGCACTCTAACATGCCCACAGACACTTTTAAATGCTCTCTCACACTCTTGCCCTTGTCTGTACACACTCACACACACCAGAGAGATTGTCTGCCACTGTTGCCACAGGCTTTCTTCTTGTGGAACCGCAAGTAAAACGAAGAGCCACAAGCATGCCTCTGCTTAAAGAGCTATTTCACTATTCTTTGGGTGAGACTTGTAAAACAGCCAGTATAGCCTCAGGCTGAGAGGAGAGTAGGAGGAGCAGAAGAGAAGACAACTTCAAACCTCACCTCCATCGATGGGGGGCTTGTGCTCGAAAAGAGGATCTTTTCCGAAATCCATGGGCCTCGGATCTGTTAAAAAGACAGAAGAAAGAATAACGGTATTAATCTCAACCAGCCACTCAAGCCAGGGCTACTCTACAGCATGTCCTGATAACATCACTTCATCTCTTATGTTGTCAGCACACAGGCTACATTTGTAGATGGAAATCAAACTACACAAACAGCTCAAAGAGTAGAGTGATCTTGTTTAAACTTTCTGAAGAGATCAGGCACGAGATCTCCCATAAACCATTTAGTTCTATGCTCAGTCTGTTAAGGGACAATAACATCCGGAGTTACTAAGCATTTCTACCTGCATAAAGCCAGCAAGTTTCATTATGTGATAAGCATCATTGCTCTTTTTTATTTGCTTAGAAATGAAAACAGAGTCAAGAGATTGAGTGAATGAGTGGAAAGAAAGAGAGAGAGTGAGAAAGGGAGACTGAACTGTGAAAAAAAAGACTCACAAAACTGCTTCATAGAAAAATATCGCTTTTATTACCATCACATTCCCCACAATATATTTTCTTTTTATTCCAAGACCATGAAATTCAACAAGCTAAAATACCACATTATATTTCTGAGGCAGGCCGAGGTGCAAGGCTTTGAAGGGTTTGGAAGCGCAATTCTGCTTCAATTCAGTTTTATTCAAGGAAATTGATATTACAATCCTGAGGTAAAAAATTGAGCAATATCTGGGCAGCTGATAATCATTTATTGCTGTGGCAAAGGAACCAAAAACACATTATGAAGTGAAACCTTAATAGATATTCAAGAGACAAGAGGTGAAAAACTAATTTAGTAGATATGAAAAAAGATACAGAGCCTCATTTCCTCAGTTAGATAAGGTCATTTTTCTATGAGACAATTTTAACATCCAGATTATACCTTCTAAAAGCAAGCTTTATGAACTTCTAATACTCTTCTCATCTGTAAATAATAGTAACAGATTTATACTTTAAAATTAGATCTGTGAAATTAAAATATTTGCTCATGGATTTAATATGAGGTAATCTCCTTGAAATTAAAGAAGTGACTCAATCACATCTTTAATTGTTTAAAATTGACCCAAAATTGACTTCCAAACCCAATCAGAGACTAAACAAAAGGAAGAGACTCAATTAAGTTTCAATTCAAATATTACAGCAACCAACAAATCCTATGCTAAATGGAGTGTATTTATTCTCAGATGTTTGCTTGTTGAGAATTTACTTATTTAATTATTTGATTGGGTGCCACTATTGGCTTTGTATGTTTCTCTGTAGTTCAATATTTAATTAGCTTGAAGTGCAACACAGTCAAATCCAGCGCAAGTCAAAAAGACAATCATAAAGTCAAGGTCTTTCCTTCGCAGAGGCAGAGAAAGTGCACAGTAATATATAGAACATATATAAATGTATAACAGGGACGAACTTTTAAGTAGTTTGAATTAAAATTCATTCAAGTTCATCCCTTGCTGAGGCCATGTTTCAGAATGATCAGTCTTTGCTGCTTCCAACAGATTTACATCAAGAAAAATCTTTCTGATCAATAAAAAAAAATCTCAATTATTAGAACAATAAAATCAAAGAACAATAACAACATCATTGCTTCATTTAATAAAAATGACATCATCAAGGTAGATTTTCCATAAACTCAACATGTGGTTGTACTTTTACCCTAAAATGTGTGATTTCACATCACAAAAATTGAGGGTGAAAAGTGAAAAATAAGAATAAATTAGTGAAATACCCAACCAGATAGACATCTCTAAGTGTGCAAGCTTGGAAAACTCCAAAGTGGCCTGCAGAGTATGAACCTGACTTCAAATAATGTTGGCAGAAGAAGTCTTAACCATCCTATTAAATAAAATAATGCAGTTATTGTACAGAGTAGGCAGTTAGCCCTGAAACAACGGATAGCTGCTAAGCTAAATATGGCTGATCCCAGTAGTAAATTATATTTTATCGAGGTCTTACTGAAATGTACTCGTTCGTGTAAGACTACGCTTAGTACATGCACATGAAAGCATCTAATCAGTCTTCTCTTCTCAACTCTTCTGGTTGTGTAAATGTACAATCTCACAACAGACCCTCCAGGCTCTAAATTCTCCTTTCTCACAGTCAGCTAAAATCACTACAGGCCTTGACAAAACATTAAATCACTAACAGAGAGATAGCAAAAGGAGCAGGATAAAATACTCGGACACTCTCTGGACGACTGTTGAACACTTTCTAATGATCCTGGCTTAAAGCCCTCAGGCTAGGATCCTGAGAAGAATCATCATGCGGATCTGAAAGGAGATTAAAACTCCCCGTAGCCCCATTTTATCTCCACTGTCCAATTAGCAAAGAGAAGAATAAAAAGGCTTTTTTTATACAGGCAAAGACATGGATGGCTCTTTGGCACCGTACGCTCTTCCAGTGGGGCCTGAGGACCTGTTAGAGTGCTTTTACTCGTAATATTTCTCCAGGAAACAGAGGAGGAGGAGGAGGCAGAAAGAAAAAAAAATAGAGATGGCCTGAGGGCTAAAAGTGCTTACCGCAGGGTTTTATGAATGCAATCAGCTCCATTAACTAATTAGAAATATTAAAGGGCTTCAAAGTAGTCTGTGATGGAGAAGGGAGAGGGAAGTGAGGGAAGGTTGATTTAAAAGCGCTGCATGAAAAGACGCCAGCACATTTTCCAAATCTTGCAAAAAGTTTGACGGAGAGAATGAAAGAGAAAAGTGCATTGGCAGCACAACATAAATACAGTCATATATCACTTCTCTGTTTGAATTTCGGACCCACATTGATTGGGTTACAGCACAAGGCTGCTAGAATGAGTCATATAATGTGTAAATCATACACAAGTCGATTTGAGTGGAAGGAGAGATGGGATGGATATGCAAGCACCAAATAACTGAAATACTTGTTGACTAAAGCACAAAGCCACATTTTATGAGGCGTAATTTGATGAAATACGTCAATATGGAGAGCTGCAGAGTAGATTTTTGAACATGCACGAAACAACGTTTTAAATGACTTAAATGAAATTTGTTAGAGATATGGATTCTTTGCTAGCGCAGGTTTCTGTGTTAGCTGGTGTGTGTAGCTGTGTGTGTGCTTATAATGTGTGCCTCCATCACACTGTCTATTCTGCCAAAAGACTTCTTTCATCTGCTTTTGTGTTTCAAACAACCTGCCCTCCTCCTTCAATTCTCTCCCTCCTTCAATCCAAACCCCAACCTGCCTCCCTGTTAGCCCTCCTCTCGGAGTAAGAGAAAAATCTATCTTTAGAAAGCAGTTTTTTTTTACTTCTTTCATCTTCCTCCATCTCTGGGCGCATTCTTTGGAGGGGAAGGGGCCTCGCTTAATGGGCCCTTCTCCTCTGAGAGATTTTGCTCTCCTCCATTTCTGCCTCTCATTTTCTCTCCTGTGTTTTTTACTGGGAGGATTTGTGATGAAGGAAAGGAGTAGAATAGGAACAAGCGGGTTTTGATAAAAAGGCTGGGGGATTTGGGCATGAACAAAATGATGTAGGGGGGGGTAGCACACAACACAAGATGGTGAGCTGCTGAGTACCACAGTGGTGTGCCCAATTTCACAGGCGTGGATCTGAATAGAAGTTGAATCAGGACTTCTCATACTAAAACCAGGCGAATTAATATGTTTTTTGGTTTTTATATCATCTCAATAATTTTAGTGAAAACGTACTCATTTGCTTCCGTTTTGTGTCCATGTCTGATTTAAGCTTAAAGGTGGATGCTTAAAATAAGGGACAAACATATTCTGTTGCAAAATGGCTTCAACTTGAGGATTTGACATCAAATAAAAGTCAAGAAAAGTTGTTAAGATCATCTCAGTGAACACAATCAACAGGACTGTTGCCTTAAAACGATGAGTCAGTAAGTATAAAAAAATAAACATTGTATAACTATTAAACATCAGAATGTAGAACTATTGTAAGGAAAAAATGGTACTTAATTCACAACCAGTACATTTCTCAACTTATTTTTTATATTAAGATTCACAGTAAATGTAAGAAATTGTCATAAATCATCAGAGCCTTCAATAAATGATTGTTAAGAAGAAGCAAAAAAGTGCTAAAGTTACTCTCAACATTTCAAAATAACATGTAACCCAACTTCAAAAATCGTCTGGTTAATTTCTATGCAAACTCATCTGTACTCTATCAACATGGCAAAATATCAAAGAAATAATTGCTAACACACATACAGTTAAACAGATAAATTAAGAAAACACCAATAATGGTGCGTGAGGGGGCTGTGTCAATAGTGCTGCATTGTTTGACAGATCACTGCGAATGAAATGATCAAAAGAACTGACCAGTGATCCTGGTTCATGGGTTTTCTAAAAGGCTTCATACATAAGAAGCTCTTTCTCACAGCGTATGTTTGGTCTCACCTGTCGAATAGAAGCAAAACTGAGAATTTTCATGGCCGCCGTGAACCAGTTTTTTTTCGACTAGTATGCAAAACATTCTGTCGTCTCGTATAACACAAGAAAATATTTAACAGACGTAAAGATTTGAACTTGAACAGACTTAAAAGAAAAGTGTAACTTCATCTTTAGTTACTCAATATGTTTTTGGATTTGTTTCATTCACCCAGTCTAATGTGTGCAGGTCATACAAAGATGTTTAGTTTGAACATTAACAGACAGGCATTGGGTTATCCACGATATCCAGGCAAAAAAAAAAAAAAAACTGTATAGAGTCCATTCATACTCTAATTTAGACACTGAGGCACTAGCTCGTTCCGGAGGTGAAGAGGTAATAGTTTTAAAGCACATTTTTAAAAAGGCATATCCGGATGTAATGAAAAAAAAATGCACTCAGGGTAACACGAGAGATTCATTATTAGCCAGTGAAAAGTGTCCGTGCATATGCATGTGAGACTTTTGAGCCTTTGTGTGTTCTGATGCCGAGAGTGTGTTTGTTTCTAGGTCTGCAGGATGCAATGTAAGCTGTCTCATCCTATCCTTCCCTTGTGTAAACCAGACAGAAAACAACACAACACTGATTCCTCCCCAGTTCACAGACCAAAGGAGCTTCCCACAGTGGATGTGTAGCTGTCTATCTGTCACGGCTGGACGGGCAGCACTAATTCTTTCTATACCTCTTCCTTTTCTGTTCTTAATCTGTCTCTGTCACTCTCAGTCTCCCAAAGGCTAGTGGACAAATAAACAGCAGCTTCATTCAGACCCAAAGAAATAGCCTCCTCTCTTTTATGCAGCACACATTGTGACATCTATCTCTCTGTACCTGTGTGTGTAAATCCCTTCTCTGTCAGACAGGGTATTTGGAGGCAGCCAGTGTCCAAGCTGCAGATCAGAGCAGGACACACAGACATATCCTTATATAAGAGGAAACTATGCTGTTACAACACTGACATTGTACCCTGCATGTATGTATGTTTTGTCCACAGTCTATAAGGCAGCCAACCTGTCATTTAATCTTTCCTCTGATCATAATCCATTTCATTTTCAGGTAGTCGTCAGCCATCAAAAGTGGCAACTGAATTTCTTTGCCTCCCCAGAGAGGGATATTGGTAAAGTTTAATGTCAGAAGTTCATTCTGCCAGTTCCAGCCAACAAGGAAGTTTAACCAAGGCGCATCCTGATCAGTTAATTAGATCAGTCATCGACAACAGGAACTGCAGTGTCGCTTCCATGTAGATTCTCATCAGTGAAGAGTGGCGATTATGCTGAATACTGCTGCTGAGTTCACACTCTCTGATCACTTTATTTGAACAAAGCATTCTAATAAAATTATATCATTCACATGTAGTCCAGTTGTTTTCAACACTGGGAATCATAGCTGTCATCTTTCTCCAGCCTGATGGTGAGCATGGGTTCAAGACTCTGCCCAGTACCTGGGTACAGGTGGTTTTGGTTGGGGCTGTGGATCAGATTATAGTTGAGGTTTTGGTTCTGGTAGCAGTTTTGGTGACCTTGCTGATTTGGCTGTTGGCTGTTGTGGTACATCACTGAATGATGATGACTACCGCTGGTCTTCTTGGTCGCCCAGTGGTACCGATGACAGCAAAGTATCACCACCACGGTAACAGTGACCAGCAGCAAGAGGGCGCCGCCTCCCGCCAACACATAGTACCAGTAGACAGGGACAGGCTGCACCGCCACTGTGTCTACTGTGGGCTCCATCCCAGACATGGCACCCCCTGGAGGGCAGGAGGACACATTACTGGTTGGCACTATGGACGAGGTAGGCAGGCATGCAGACCGTATTGGAGAGCTGTTAATTGTCTGATTGACCATTTGCTAAACCCCTCCTCCAGACAGTTATTATCAAATCATAGCTTAGAAACCACAACTAGTCATTGGATTTTCTCCAAATGCTGAATCATATAGTAAGAGTGATACTAAGTTTGAAGGTTGGTGTTGTTTTTTAGCTCTTCCGAAATCGCAAAAGCAAATGTGAATTATGTTTATCTGCTCTATCATAACCCGTGATCATGAGCATGTCCTGCTAGCTATCTTATTACCAACAGCAGGCAACTAACATAACTTCAAAGGTCAAAGGGCACATTATTAACACTTAGTATAAGCAGCCAAACAGGGTGACTTTATATATTATTCCTTATCATACTTACTAACATTTTATTCTACATGGATCATCACAATGAGTAAGCTGCAGCAGTGGATAGCTTTTTGAATCAACTCATGGAGCTAACAGGTAATTAGCTATCTAGCAACAGTCAAAATTGGGGAGTTTTTGCTTGAAATGAGAAGCCTGCTTCTATATACGTCTGCCTAAAATCAAGAATCTATTGTCTCAAAAGTAACTCAAAATAGTTTCAAGTGTTAAATCTGACATGCATGTCGTGCGATAATGGAAAACCTGACAGGCCTAACGGTAATTAAGGCGGTCGGGACTTAGCGAATGGTCAATTACTGCAGCAGCTAGCTGAAATGATTGTGCCTTGCTGGTATTCAATGAAACATAATACATATGTAATATCAACAGCAGGCAGAAACAGCTTCCAGATTTAGCTCACTTTGTCAATATTTAAGCATCCAATTGCATACTCGAAGTCATTTAAAATCTTCATTCTTCCTAAACAAATTGCTGATGCATATGCTTTGATTGTGCTTATTTCACTCATTGTATTTTTGGTTGATGCAAATGTCACAAGCATTAGCTGCACATTGACACGCAAAGGCTCATGCCATGTGTTCAGATTCAATCAGAGAATGCAAAGCCTTGATTATGCAGTGACTGGCTGATTTGGACAAAGGGTGGGGAGTGTTAAGTAGTTGTATTTGGTAAGATGCAGCTGCTTTTATCAGGGCAAGATCACATTGAAGGGAGTCGAGTGGAGGGAGAAAGACATGGCGAGTGGAAAGAGGGTAAATCAGAGAGAAATTACAGGGGTAGAAAAGGGATAAGAGAGAAAGCATTATTGGAAGAAAGAATGGAGTGAAATAGAGAGGGGTGGTAGAAAGTGAGGGGGTGAGAGGGAGGGGAAATGAAGGGAGAGAGCTAATCCTGCCATGATATCTTTAATCCTGCATTAGAGGGTTTGTCTGAAACTTCAATAGTCTGTCAACTCACTGTGAAAGAAAGCCGCTGAGAGAGAGGTTGTGGAAGAAAGAGAGACAGAGAGAAAAAAAATTGGAGAGAACGAAAGAACGTGAGCAAGAAAGAAAGAGGAAAAAGAACCAGGGCAAGCAAGATGGGGACGAGAGAGAAGAGAGAAATAATGAAAAGACAGAGGAAGGGAAGGTGCAGAGAAAGACACAGAACCTCAAGGAAACCACTGAGCTTAATTTTATAAATTCAGACGTACTCTTTAAGGGTTTAAAATTGGCTTTGATTGTAAAGCTGAGCAGCCTGCACAGAGAGACTTCCCACTAGTGGATTAAGACACAGCTGATTTAGGGCAGCAAAAATTGACCGTTACTTTACTTTTTTTTTTAATCTAAAGGAAAAAAGGGAGAAAGTTTCTCAAGAGCACCATTCCTAAAGTGAGCTAAAAAAAAGTGTGGCTTTCAAGGAAGTTTGGTTGCTAGAGTTTCTCATTCCATGACTTACACTTCACACATCAACAGTCTTTCCTTATCTGAATGAAATACTTTTAAAAAATGTAGTTGAAAGTCCAAGTCCTCTCTAAATTGAAGCCAGAATTAGCCTCCTTTCTGTGTGTATGCATGCATGCGTGTGTGTGTGTGTGTGTGTGTGTGTGTGTGTGTGTGTGTGTGTGTGTGTGTGTGTGTGTGTGTGTGTGTGTGTGTGTGTGTGTGTGATTGTGCGTGTAGCATGATTGGTCAGAGCCCTCTCTTGCTAGAATCTAAATGCCTCCTTGGTTGCCATGGATACAAAAACCCAACAATGTGGCATATCACACCACAATAAAGCAGCTCATCTAAGTAAGGATCGTGTTATCAGGCTATAATCAAGGAGAAACATTTTAAATGTCCAGTCCTCCTGAAGTTTCTCTGTAATGTGAGAGTTTGGGTTAATTTTGGAACAATAGATTTATTTCATTTAATATATTTTTATTATTTTTTCTCCACTTGGCGCTTTATTGTAGATTATTGATAGATCTTCACTCTGTCAGGACCAAGTTATTCACTATATTCCTCCTCACAATTCCTTACTAGGGATGAAATCCATTTGACTTAAAATTAATTCTCTTACAATACACTATTACTATTTATTACTCAAAATGCAAGTTTGGACTTAACTTGAATAAGAGTGTTAAACTTCTTACTGGTAACATATACAGCAGTAAGTCTTAAATAGGGTTCAACTTCATCTGCTCACCCAAAGAGAAACACTTAAGTTCTTAGCTCACTTTTCAACAGGCGTCCCAAAAGAGAAATTGAATCCTTCTTTCCGGGGCTCGGTCTCATGAAAACACACATATATCAGAACTGACGCTGCTGTCATGCTGGGAGTCATATGATATCTCCTCAGGATTCAGACCTGTAAGCATTAGGTCAAATATTTAGCTGATGAGTCAGGTGACTAGAGTTTTACTGAGTTTGACTCTTTTTTTGCTTTTACTATTTTTGGGAATGTTAGTTATGTCTTTATTGAACTGATGTGTGATGAGCAAAACCAAGTGCTGGTCTAGTATCTGATAGTATTCAAATAATGTATCCACACACACACACACACACACACACACACACACACACACACACACACACACACACACACACTGAACTGACTTAAATTGATAGCACACATCATCCGTGATGTTATGAAATTGTTCACATACATGAGTCTTTGCACTTAGTAATTAAAGGTTCCAGTTTTAACCTGATACCAACCAGGGTGATCAGTGTGGGCACTCATCATCAAATGTAAAAAAAAAAAAGAAAGTCATAAAAGTCTTAATATACTACTTGAGTGCTCAAGAAATTCAATGTCACTGAGGCTCAGTCTCCTTAAACATACCAGTGTTTATATTTTGTGGGTGTTTAAACAAAAGCGGTCCTGTAGCCAGCATTTTAGGTCCCGACCCAGACTTTGAAAGCAAGAGATCCAGTAGCATAATCTTTCTAAGCCCTTTTTTATCTGCTTTCAGACTGGGCTATTTGAGGAGGAAGGAGCGAAAAAGAAAAAGACAAAAGAGAAGTTGGATGGTGATCAGCTCTGCATTTCATTCAGGTGGGATCAACAGTTTGCTGGGCAAAGTAATAGAGTGAGAAATGGAGGAAAAGGAGAGGAGGGGGAAGGAGAAAAAGGAGGAAAAACTGAAAACAAAGCCAAGGATGTAAGGAAAGAAAAAGCATAGTTAAAATGAAAGTAGAGAAGCAGAGAGGAGGGAGGAGCAAAACACAGAAAAGGGCAGTGGGGGGGAACAAGAAAAAGTAAAGAGATGGAAGAAGAGAGGCTCCTTGTATGGTGTTGAATGCAAACAGAGAGAGAGAGAGCTTACATGGATGAGGAGCGAGTGTGCTGTTCTCTACAAGTAGATATTAGTGAGGGTCGGACTGAGTAAACGTTAGAGACAGGAGAAGCGAGTTCTGCTTAGTTCTTTAAGTTCTACCAATAACGAGAGAAAAAGACCCCATGGAGACTGCTTCACTGTCTCTGAGCAGGTCAACCATGACCTTCGTTCCTATGTCATCTTTTAAGTTGTTAACCATGTGAGCAATGAAAAATGAACACTGAATTCACAGTGGGTCTGTGCACACAAGGCACAGTCATGCACTCCTGAGACTGTGTTGCATGAATGTATACCAGTGACAGATCAAACACAACATGGTGCACACCATTAGCCAGTCTGTGGAATGTGCACATACACCCCCGGTGTGCAATTGCACATGTTGCTATTGTAGTCTGCCAATGTGGATGTTGTAGGAAATAATCCTGTGTTCGGCTACTACTTGTCTATGTAGTGTAAAATGTAATTTTCTCACAGAGGAAAATACCAAACTACATAATCAAGAGTATCAGCCCAGCATGCAGGGAGTCATGCTGGAACAATGCAGTGGATCCATTCCATCAGGTTGCAATGTTTTCTCTATAACTTCCCACTTTAAAATATACACCCTGAGTAAGTCTTCGGAAATTCGTAAATAGTTATGTGGATATATTGTACAAAGTTCTATGCATTTAAGAGTTTGTTTTTGGGAATTATGTTATAGCTCAAGGGTCAGTTTTCTGTCGGAATAAGTGTGGTTTATGTCCATTTAGCTGTATGTAACATATGTTATGAACTAACAAGGTCACTCGAGGGCCAGTGCAGTGCTGTGAGCTGAGCTTAGCAACAAGCAGAAAGCACAGACATGTGGCACAGAGAGTAGAAAAATAGCAGGAAGTAGAACTTACTGGTTATGCCAGGAGTTAAGGCAGGGAAAGGCTCTGCAAGAGAGAGAGAAGAGAGAAATGTTATTGATGATGATTAGTAGCTGATAAGATGACGCGATGAAGGCCCGATCTCATAAGAGCATTGATAGAATTTATGGACGATGCCCCCTGACTTTGGATTTCAGCATGAGTTGTTGTTTAAGTTTCTATAGTCTGTTTGTTCATACTTAATTTTATATATATTGAAGTAATATAATGCCATTTGGTCAATCTCATCTAAAGAGTTTTAATGTAAAATTGGTGCTTATATCATTATAGAGTAGCCTATATGAGAGGATAGTAAGCAATCACTATTCTCTACAGGTCTTGGTGTCAGTATCACTCCATAAGGAATGAGCTAAACCATGATTAATACATGATTTTGATCAAATATATTTATTCCTTTCTAAAGTATCCCTATGAAATGCACAACCAAATATATCATTATTTGGGTTTGCATAGTCTCAGTGTACTGTGGCATATTTTCATGATTAAATTGACACAGCACAACTGTACTGCTGATGATTGTTAACAGAAATGCATTTTAATACAGCTGAATTGCAAAATTGCAAGACGAGGCACTTTTTGCGAAGGCACTTGTTACTCCTTTTTGAGAAAATCAATAAAGATTTGTTGAGTTCTGAGATGGTGCAGTGCAGATGGTGGAGTCTAAAGGTCCATAAATCTTCCTGGATGACAGTCATTTTTACAAAATGGAGAGAAAATAAAGAGAGGGAGACAAAAGTGTAGGCTGACAGGGGTTAGAACACAGGAAGTGCGTCCTCCCTGAATGCCTCTCTTGTGTGTCTGTCATTTCTAAATTGCTCTCACTTTATTATTTTTGCTTTGTCATTCTACGTCTCTCTTTACTGTGATTGCTCTCAAACTCTCTTTTTCTAAGGTGAGGCCCAACCTGTTCATGGTAGCAGACATGTTGGGTAGAGAAAAAGTGGGTTGATGGAAGATGGGGGGTGAAAAGAGTGAGGGAAGTGTGAAGAGAAGGGAAATAGAGGAATGGGAAGGAAGGGTGGAGGTAAGTTAAAGGGTCATGGGAACAGGGACTGAAATTTACTGCTGTTTATTATTTGCCGGAGGACATGACATGTATTAGAAAAGTGAGAGGGAGAAAGAAGATGGAGACCAGAAGAAAAAAAACAGAGGGAAAACAAAGAGAGAAAGGCAGCACAAGTAAAGGAAGTTGCAGCAGTGAGTGGAGAGAAGATGGACGAAAGTAATTATAACATAAGATGAAGGAATAATAAGAAAAAACTATCAACAGAAAATGGTGGTGTGCCAAACATGAAATATTGATAATAATCTACAAAACACTAATCACCTATATCCAATGACAGAGAGTCCTTCCAAATATACTGAGGGCAAAAACCCTATTTCATTTAAGACTTATCAATTGGGTACCCCAGCAGTTTGCTATTTCACTTCTGTAAAGTTAGGGGACCTGTGAGAAACAAATCAATATAAAAATGGTCAAAATTGAAGCAGCAGAGGCCAAGATTCTTTAAGTTCCTAGACTGAGTCAGCTAAAAAAAAAAAAACAATTCCCACAATGATAGCTGATCTGATCCCTGATGGAATCGTTAGTGTAATATTTTGAAACTTGATAAAGCTGCTTCAGAGCCACAGACTAAGGCTAAGTAGAACTCCTTGTGATAAGTAAACTTATCTTTATGTGTTTAATCTCTACAATTCCCTTTTCACAAATCCACAACAAATTTACTTTCAGTCTAATTAAAACACACCATCCGCCTGTGAGGTGACTAAAAGAACAACTGGAGACCTCACCGGGAATTTATTGTGATGGATACACATTTAAATGTAAAAGAAGTAGGACAGAGATAAGCCAAATTAACAATTTGTCTCACAGGGTTGAAAGAGAAGCAGTGGTACACTGGGAAGCCTGTTTAGAGGAATGTGTGGGAGTGTGTCTTCATATGTCATGGTTATTAATTTAAAACAACTGTTGTGGTTTTTTACATGTCATGGTACATTATGTTTCGGTGTATGTGTATGTGTGTGTGCCAATATGTGTGGTCATATCAGGCTAACTATTTCTGTCCTGCTGTGCTGAGTATAGTGGTGCTTTGCTACATTAAATGATAACAATATTCCCATTACTTTAAATGACAGAGAGAGAGAGAGTGTGTGTGTGTGCGTGGGTGAGTAGAAATGATGTTTGTCAAACAAGGGAAATGTGAAGGATTTAAAAACTGTCTAGTCTTTGTGTTATAAGTCTGCATTCTTCTGTACCAGTAATAACAAAGCATGAATAATTGCAGCCAATAGTTATTCATAGGAGTCCAGCTTATGTCTGTCTATGTGTATGTGTGTGTGTGTGTGTGTGTGTGTGTGTGTGTGTGTGTGTGTGTGTGTGTGTGTGTGTGTGTGTGTGTGTGTGTGTGAGAAATAAACACACATTACAGAATAACTACATGTTGCTCTCTCATGTAATCATGCACAGACACAGACATTTTTTTGGTGCTCTGTGGCCCAGTGACAGCCCTGACTGCATGGAGGACAAGGCTAGAGACTGAGAGGAAGAATGAGAAGGATCATAAAACGGTTGGATGCTGTGGCATAGGAAAAGACTGAAGGAGATAGAGAGAGGGAGATATGAAAGATAGATTAGAATCCATGCCCAAAGGCCGTTTGTGGCCTACTTTCTTTTTTTTTATATATATATTTTTTTCCTTTTTATGTGTGTGTGTGTGTGTGTGTGTGTGTGTGTGTGTGTGTGTGTGTGTGTGTGTGTGTGTGAAACGAGAAACATTATGAGTTTTTTCCCTTCTCTCTCTTCCAACCGGTCTCTGGTGAAAACATAGCATAAATGGTCTGGTGGGAAGGAGTGAGAGAATCAGACCGACAGATAGTTAGATAGACACTGAGTGACCGAATGAAGCCTCAACTCCACTGATAAATGGGCAGACAGGTTATGGGACTTACGTGTACACTGCTCCAGCTCGATACTGCTGCTCATGTGGATGTTATCTATCCTGATGTGGCCTCTGGTCGGGTGATCAAAGAAACCCTCAAACACCACCTAGATGATAGAAGAAGAGATATTACAATAGGCTCTTTCTTTATTAAAGATAGTAAGTCCGGCAGTCAGTTCAAAAACAACACTTACCTGATACTCCTTTGGGCTTTGGGGCAGGATGGTGCGGCCCTCCCTCCAGTGAGAACCCTGGTCTCCTTTTAGAGCCCATAGCAACGTCTCCTCCTGGTCACTGTCCCTCAGCAGGACCCTCAGGCTCCCCAGTGCCTCGCCCTGGAGCTGGTAGTAGAAGAGGAGGCAGAGCGGGCCTTGCTCTGGCCCCACCTCAGGGCTCAGCAGTCGGGCTCGCTTGCGCTGGGTGTGGGCGCCTGCATCCAGGTGGAGATAGTTCCCTGAGAAATCTGGAGGAAAGAAAGACACAGAGAGGTGGCAGATGCTGCATTATTGTAAGATCAGTGATGTATTTCATATTAATGAGTTGCAACAAATGATAAATGAGTGCCCTTTAAACTGATACATCATCACTCTTTTCAGCGTAGGGTTGTAAATATGAAGCCACATATATGGTTTTCTCTGTGCTATTTGCATTTTAGTCATTTAATGGATTCCATTTTAATGAATTTTATGATTTGTGACAGTGCTGCTGCAGACAGTCACTCCAGGCCCAACATACAGCATGATGCAGTAGTGCAGTGGGATGTGGTTGCTTAGAGTTTAAGACATTACCCCCATCATTCTGTGGTATGAGGCTTAACCGCAAATGAGACTGCCATTTCATTATGGCTGCTAATGGCTATAGATACAAATGAACACACACATATGCACACACTAACACACGTGCACACACAAAAACTCTGCTAAACAGTCCTACTCACTGAATGCTGACACCTCGTTCTGTTGCTCTCCCTGTTTTTGCTACTAAGTCAGCACAGCCATCATACCAATACACTCACAATGCTTGTGCACGTGTAGTGTATCTTTGTGTGTGTGCATATACTTCCCACACACACACACATACACACACACACACACACACACACACACACACACACACACACACACAATCAGTTAAAAATCTAATTCACTCCCTTTTTCTCCTCTCAGCTCAAAGAACTGATGAGCAGAGGAAAGGAGCAAAGGAGGTGAAGGGAAGGAAGGAGTGAGTGAGTGAAAGAGTGAGCAAACATGACATGATGAGAGAGAGAAAGGCAATGCCACAGTGTTTTCCCTACCCCAAACAGGACCATAATCATTAGCTTGCTGCTGTGTTTGGCTGTTTGTCTAGTTAGATTATTATGACCGGAGAGAAAAAGCTTCGCTGGAGCTGCAAATAGTCTTTTTTTTAATAGACAGACCGACAGACAGACACGCTATGTGACACCTCGTAAGAAGAGAGAGACAGACACAGAAGAAAGAAGGAGAGAATCTATCTATCTATCTATCTATCTATCTATCTATCTATCTATCTATCTATCTATCTATCTATCTATCTATCTATCTATCTATCTATCTATCTATCTATCTATCTATCTATCTATCTACCCTGTTTACCCTCCCTCAACTAAGACAGAAAAAAGCATTTGACGCGCATCACACTTAATGAATAATGGATTTGGGTTGAAGTAACTCTGTTTCTTCACTTGGAGGCAATGAAAAAGGGGACCTAAATTACCGTTGCTCATTAAGTACAGTTAGAGAAAGTTGCAGTGTTTTTCTGTCTCTCTGCGTTTGATCTTGGCGAACGTACAAAGGGAGGGAATTAATTAACAACTCTCCATGGGAGGGATAGGCAGGGATGTAGAATTGGCTCTGAGGGAGGGAGGGAAATCTGTGTATGCGTGTGTGTTGATGTTTGTTTGCATGAGTGTTGGTTCATTTATGTTTATATCTGTATGTGTGTGCGAGTTCATCTGTCAGTCATTGTGTGTGTGTGTGTGTGTGTGTCTGTGTGTGTGTGTGTGTGTGTACCTGCAAGTGCATTGTGTGTGAGTTTATCATTTTGCAAGATGTGTGCAGAATTTATTCTAAGTTCAAATGTAGAGATACACTGTATGTCTGCAAAGGCAGACATGAAATACACTATAATGTCAACTCTTGTTTTCACTTGCAAGTATGACTAGGCATTGTGCGCTATACAAATTGAATTGTCTTTTAATATGTGTCACACTGATTCCTCACATTCCTAATAACCACAAAAAACAAAAAACATGTTGTAGATTCAATTAAGCTATAGCTTTACTTGAACGGAGCTGCCTTCAGTGCATCCTATCTCATAAGGATCAGCTCTGTCTCATTGAAATTAAAGCCAGACTTTAACATCGGAGACTAATTTGTACCTTAGGTCCTGCATGTGGTTAGGTAGTAGGTATGTAGTTAACACTTTAACCTTAAACCTTTGGTTGGATTTAGGGAGAGATTGTGATTTGGGTTTGATACAGAAAAAAACATGATCTTTTTCAGTTGTGTGAACATAACCATGAAACACAAATCATCCTTTAGTTGCTATAAGCAGATTTTTGTTATTTTACTTCACCGAATGAGCATGCATAATTATACTGTCTGCAGATTACTTTCTTCCTTAACAGTTCCTACAATGAGCGCATAATGAGTCAAGTTCATTTTATAGAAGGTTAGCTTGTCAGTTCTTTGTACTTTCTGACTGGTTTGATTTGCATTCACACCACAAAGTTTACTGGGAAACGGATTGCAAGACACCTTTTCAAGCAGTGTCATTGGGTTATTGTTATGGTCTTTCAGTCTCTTTTCAACCCTCCATTATTTTCGTTTCCTCTCCTTATCAATAACTAAACCACTTACAAACAACGAGCAGTGTGAAGGGTTTCTTTCGATTAAAAATCTCCACAGGGTATAGAATTTCAGTCTTGCCCTATCTGAGATCAAAAGAATAACTTATGAGCTATGTTCGGGTCGGATTTTCTCTTTTAAAACCCTAAAAGGGTTTTCAATGACAAGGTTTGGGGATTTGATTTGCATATCGAGACAGCTTCCAGACAGGGTGCCGTGCTAATATTGCTGTAGAACAAGACTTAATGTCATGTTGCTGTCTAACACATAGACAGGGACGCTGCTATGTCAATTATACACATGCACACACACCCGCCTAGTGTGATGTAGAGCCTTGCCTTATGTCACGGCCCTGTCTGTTTATGAAGGAGCTGCTCAGTCAACCGTAAACTGGATGTCTTCAACAGATACAGAGAAAACCTTGGTGGATGGCAAGGTCGTCTGTGTGTGTGTGTGTGTGTGTGTGTGTGTGTGTGTGTGTGTGTGTGTGTGTGTGTGTGTGTGTGTGGGGAAAAAGAAACCCACACACCTTCAGTGTTTAATACGCGGACAGACCCACCTTGAGTGGTTTGTGTAAGTGTGTGTGTGTGTGTGTGTGTGTGTGTGTGTGTGTGTGGGAGCCTCAGGGGGAGCTGGAGAGCTAAGGCAGCACTTCTGTCAAAGCCATCATCTGACTTATCTGACTGCTCTGGGCGATGAGTGTGTGCCTTATAGGTGTGTAAGTACAGTGAGTATGTGTGTGAGTGTGTGTGTGTGTGTGTGTGTGTGTGTGTGTGTGTGAGAGAAAGAAAGAGAGATGTGGAGAGGTAAGTGAGGCAGCGAATGTGTGTGTATGATGGATAAAACAGTCTTGGTTATCCTCCTGCTGTCTTATTAAAGATGGACAGATGTGGAAAAAGGCAAGCACCACTGAGGGAAATCGGAAAAGAGGTCGGTGAGGAGAGAAAGAGGTGATTACACTTATGGAGTAAGACGGCCGGAAAGGGAAATTGACAAAAAAATACAGAAATTATAAACTGTTGTATGAGTTAGAACTGAAACAAAGGTGGATGACTTGTAGAGGAAGGATCGAATGAAAGAATCTGGGTAACAAGGAGAGATGAGATGATGAGGATTGAGAGCAGAAAGACATCTGTAGCAACATCTAAGGCAAGTAAAACATACTAAAATAAAGGAAAAGAAGATAAGGAGGTTGCAAACAAGGAGGTTGAAGTATAGTAATTCGTATATATGAAAGGGGCAAGCTAAAGATGCTACGACAATGAATAAAAATATGGAGAAAAGGTGAAAAAGTTATATATTAAAGGAAGATGGAAATGAGAAAGAACCGATAAAAGAGACAATAAAGTAACAAACTAGGTTAGGGAATGTTAGGGAAACTGTTAAGCCTAACATTTTTTTAAAACTCCAATTAAGTCGTCGTACACACTTTAATCAGATCAGAGTGAAATCCTTGCATCATAGTTGCTGTCAGTGGTTGCTTGCAGCACTGTGATCTGTAAGATTCCACCACAGGACAAGCATTTTGCTCTTAATTAGCTACAGAAGTTTTTGTGCTGAGGAAGGTCAAACATCTCGTCATGACGATGCTTTCTTTTCTGTGTTTACAAAATGAGAAATGTCTTGAAATGTAGAAATGAACTGGATGTGATTCTAATGAGCACACAAAGGTCGCAGAGAGTTTGGATGTTTAAGTAGAGGAGAAGACCTGCCCACAAATGTTCTTAAAGGTTCTTTATGGTACTGTTGGTCTGTTAGGTTAAAAAGTTACATGATACAAATATCTTATCTATCTATTAAAGATAATTGGATAGTAGTGAGTATTCTTATTTAAGAATAAAAACAGTATTAGACATATTAAGGCCATGTTTCTTATTAGTTTCCTCATACAAAAACATACTATTATAATATTTATTGATACTAGTATTTATAACAGTTGCATTAAACAGTAATAAAGCTGATCAGACATACCTACTAATTGCTGCAAGTTAATTGAGTGTCAGTGATATATGCCAGCATATATTGCTGCTCTACTAGCAAACCGTATTTTCAAACTAAAACAATCGAAAACTTTAATTTAGTTTTTGGTGTTTAAAATCAAGTTTCACAGGCTTCAGGTGGAAAATAGGTAGCGTGTCCTTTTAAATATGTGAGCTGACGTAATAAACGATAAAACACATACATGTGTTTTTGGTGATGTTATGTAGATAGGAGTGCTGGAAACAGCAGAGCCAGTGATTCAAATGTTAAATTGTTGTAATCCCGAAAAAAAAAAAAGTTTCCAGTATGGATTCGGCTACATTTGTCTTAATGATGACACGTGCTTTAGGGAATGAATGACCTGAAACTCTAGTAAAAGTGTAAAAAGAACAAAGAACAAACATTTCTCAAGACATTTTACATTATTTATAAAGGGTCTGGTTATAAAATGTAATTTTATGTGGCTGAATGCTCTATGAGATTCTAGATGTTATGAACAAAATCAGTACTCACTGTCTGATCCCAGCGCCAAATCCTGCCTCGTTCCATGTGTGCCGTGTCCAGTTGAACTGCTGCTCGCTGTGTGCAGCAACCAGCTCACACCTGACTGGGGATCAGCCGACCAGCCGCATAAGCTTTGCTCAAAGTCACATACAGCCGACAGGGATGGTGTGGTGGCTGAGGATCGTGAAAGAAAACACACAAATAGCGAATAAAGACGTTTGAAAGTGCCTTTTTTGACTTACAGGAAAGATTATCGAGTCACTTTTTTGAGTGCTTTTAATGTTTTTTCAGTTACTTGTCATCCTTATACGGGACTTAATACCATAATAGCTGCCTCCTCTTTATTTTGTGATTTGAGACAATAATATGACATCTCAATAAATCGTGCTGCTGAATACAAATAGTATATTAAAAGAGAGATTATATGAAGGGAGAATGAGCTGGACAGAAGAATCAGTGGAGAGCATACAATAAAGAAACATAAGAAAGGATGATAAAGAATAAAGAAAACAAAGCATTATAAAATGCACTTAGTATGCCTGATGCTGTATTCAGTTTAAATCACTGCATTCAGTTATGTAGCAACAAAATAAATAAAGAAGGAGCTTCTTAAACTACATTACATTTACCCCGGTAAGGCTACTTGCCTGACAGTTGTTGACCTACAGCTATGAAATCATATTCCCAATATGTGTGTGTGTGATACTCTGGCTGTGAGAGCTTATTTTCACTCAAACAGAGCTTCCTGTGGGACTCTTGAATCTAACAGACTTCAAAGCCCAGAGGCCCTGTGGTGCATGATGACATCATGAGTTTGACCTTAAGAGCGTTGAGTGTGTGTGGATGAGAGACAGAGACAAAATTAATGCTGTGTGTGGGAGTGCTTGAACTGTGTGTGTGTGTGTGTTTACCGGGTCTCATTGCAGCAGTCGTCTGTTCCTCTCTGGGCAAGGTGGGGGTCACAGTGTCAGGTACAGTGGTGGTTTCTGCCAACAGAAATAAAACACTGAGGTTAGAATATAATGGAAAGAGATGACATCAGTACACAGTAACAGTGTGCCATAAGTTGAATGATCATTTTTATGAAAGCCTGATATTCATGTCAAATGTGTTGATCTAGCATTAGGCCCCGCAGTGGCCCTCCATACAAGGTATATTAACTTTTATCTCCGCTTAGCGTCATTCAACCAGCATGTTGCTATCCGTGGCAGCATGCTGCTTAACTCACCACCAAGCAGCTCCAAACAATCCAGCAACCACATATATTGCATTGCACTTTATATTTAATGCAAGCATTTGCACAAGTTAATCTGCTTTAATTATGTTTAACTTCCAACACACTCAAGCTGTCTAATAAGTAGAGACAATACTGGATTTACGATAACCAACTCTTTTTAAATATCAACAATTTGTTCTACAGCTGCTTCGCCACACACTGGAAAATAATACTTCAACAGCACAGCAGTGGTGTCTTGAGCAAAGAAAGATTTAGATATTATGCGGTAACTGATGATGTTTGTACACACTTCACTGTTGTTTTCCAGAACTGTGTATTAAGGCTGAAGTTTTTCATGATCCAGGCAGTGACAGAGTGAGCTGAGGCAGTGAGCTGGCACTGAAGACTGCGCCATGCCACACTCATTTTACCCACTGCAGGTTGGCCCACACACACACACGCACGCACACACACACAGCCACAACGCTATGATGATAGATGCTGCACTCAAACTGACCTTGGTGCACAGCAGCATGCGACCAGTGTATGATAGATCAAACAGAGGCACACACATACACGTCAGCAGTGGGGTATGTCAATGTAACCCCAAGACCTTCTGGTCTTAATAAGCAGTTTTCTACTGTTGGTTAAGATTCCTTAAACGGCCCTGAATGCTTTACCAGCTCTCTCTAGCACACGCTAACACACGGTCTATACGTTGACGTAAGGGAACAGAAGATGGCGTAAGGCTGACACCACAAACCTCTTGCCAAAATATTCTTAGAAATTACTTCTTTCTCTCTCTCATTTTCTGCCATTCATTATGTGTTCTGTCTTTCTTTATTTCTTTCCTTCCTTCATTTATCATTCGGGCTCTGCAAATCCCCTTCCATCTTTCAGTCTTCTCTCTGTCATTTGTCACAATAAATCTGACCAGTTCAGTTCTGCTTTGCAAAACCATCAACACCACAAAAAGCTATTTCTAAACACACACACACACACACACACACACACACACACACACACACACACACACACACACACACGTTCTCTGTATCTCTGACACACACACACACACACACAAAGTCGATGTTTTTTTTCTCTCTCTCCAGCATAGAAGTGAAACCCTATCTAGTGTTGTTTCTGTTTTACCACAACCGCAATTTTCTTCTCCATAACTCTTTCTCTCGCTCTCTTTCTGTCATCTCTCCCTGAGGCATATTTTGATTTCCACTCGTCCTTTGCTTTTGTCTGCCCGCAGATCTTCATCTCTCTTTGTTAATATTGTGTCTCTTTCTTTTCCTACGATCTGTCGCTCTCGTCTCAACCTTTCAGCGCTCCTCTCTGCGCTGTAACTCTGTCTGGTGTTATTTTATGTCGGTTCTAACCACCAGCTCAGTAAATCTGAGACCACTGTTGATTTACTGCCTGTTTGGTTGTTCGAGATGTTTCCATGACTCACTTGGTGATCTGTACGTGTGTGTGTGTGTGTGTGTGTGTGTCTTGTTTAGTTTGAACTCTTAACCTTTGTTAGCCTATGCTAACAGCTTTGAGTTCACTGCAGCATCTACAGTGGGTTCATTCATTCCTCTAATGTGTATTGTGTGTGTGTGCATAACTTTACTGACTTGTTAGCACAGTCTGCTCACAGTGAAAATATGCAGGATTATTATGTAAGTCCAAACAGAGTGGCCTAACACACACATAGCAAGCACACACACACGCTCACACACAGAATTAGATATTAACATTGGATAAGTAGCTCCCAGCTGCTGACATTAAGCTGTTTTAATTTGGTGCCCTTTACCACTGTAATTAGCCCCCCATATGGAGGGGAGAGAGGGAGGAATGGAGATGAGAGAGGGATAGAGAGAGACAGAGACACATAGAGATGGATAGAGAGAGACATGGAGAAGGGAACATAACCCTTTCCACCTCTCACCACCATTTTCCTAATTAGTGACCACACACAGCTCCTGTCAGCCCCCCATTTCTATCTCCATCTCCACTCCACTCGTCTAATCCAATTTTTCTCTGTCTGTCGTCTGCTCTCCTGTTATTTCTCTCTTTCCTCCTCCTCTTCATCATCCTATTTCCCCCTCTTATTTCCATCCATCAGGGCCCACTCTGTAGATACTGTAAAGGTCAGTAAAATAATTTGAATGAATTACTGAATGATTCAATTATTAATGAATTAAATTCATTCAAGCTTGTAATTTTCAGCTTGCTTTTGCAGGAAGTTTTTGTTTTATCGGCTGAGCTAAATGTGACTAACAGATGCATGCAGTGTGTTTGGTCACCTGTGTGGGAAAAGTGAGGATTATGATAGTCATGTTTTAAACATAAGGATTCAAACAGGCATGTAAAAGAAACACTAATCTTTACATCTGTATTCTGCAGATGGGTCATCCTGAACACCACTGAGTTACAGCAACCTGCCATTACTCTCCATCTCTTTCTCTATCACACACACACACACACACACACACACACACACACACACACCTCAAACTGAGAAACTGAAAAGGTGTTCGATTCAGTTAACCACACACACACACACACACACACACACACACACACACACACACACACACACACACACACACACACACACACACACACACTGTCATAGGCCCCAGGGCTCATTGTAAAGCTGCTGACTGAGCAGGGCGAGGCGGAAACAGAGAGACGAAAACTGTTCAATTATGGAAAGAGCTCTGGGTATAAATCTACCTCTGTCAGCCTAAATAATGACTACTGACACAGTATGTGAGTATGTGTGTGTGTGCTTGGGGAAGAGAGAGAAATGTCATCCGTCCTCAAATTATTGGTGACATGGTGCGTGTGTGTGTGTGTGTGTGTGTGTGTGTGTGTGTGTGTGTGTGTGTCATTTACTTAATGACTATGTGATTGACTGACTGACTGGCAGACTCTGCATGTCTTCTTTACAACAGGAACCTCCAATGAGAGTTAACAACTATTAGCTATCACCACTGGCTAACCCAGGGGTCAGCAACCTTTAACATGAAAACAGCAATTTTTTGGCCGACAAAAGAATTAAGAAAAAAATCTGTCTGGAACCGCAAAACATATTCCAGCCTTATATTGCGAATTTAATATCGGTAAGCCAGCAGCGTTGGTGGATTTGGAGTCCATAGCTAAGGAAACTCAAGACTAGAAGCCACTTCTGTTGAGGTTTAGCAATATAAAGAGAAAGGGGCCTGGCCAGAATGTAACACACATTTTAGTTTTCTCCATTTTCAATTGGAGAACATAAGGCCTACAACACTGATGATTGAAAATAACCGTTATTTATTACCATATAATATATTTGTCAAAACCACAGGGAGGTAAAGCTAAATGGCAGCATGCAGCTCTGGAGCAGCACGTTGCCTACCCCTAGGCTAACCTGCCTGCTGTAGAATTTCCTATAAAAAGAAATGTTTATATCCCCTGTATTCTGTTCACTGACAGTAAAAACTCCTTAAAAACTTACATACTTACATGCAACACTGTGTATAGCAAGATAATACTTGCTACAATCGATGCTAAAACCTTATAAAATAAAAGAAAGGAAACTTGGAAACTGGTAAGTGAAATTTTAGCTATGGCACGACCAAGAATGGGGCTGTTAAATGTTAAAAGTATGACATTAAATGAGAAGTGATGGTGGAAAACACGAGTGTTTTTGGATGGAAATCATTGCCAGTGATCTGAATGGCAAATCAGACAACTGTACTTAAAAACCAAAAGTGCAGGTTTGATTTGCACGTAGCTTAAAGTGCTGGACTAATCATGACTCCCTCTTCTGTAGATGAGTGGGTGGGAAAATTAGTTCTTTACAGCAGGAGACACTTTCTGAGACTAAATGCCTAATTAGCTCATTGTACAGCAAGCTACCAACAATATCTGGTTTTACGGTAAGTGCTGCACTGGACCACAAGTTTTATGTCTGGTAGATGGGGAAGGAGAGTTTCTGTAACCCTGTAAAATGTATTGGCGGTATAAGACCAATCACATGACTGTAGTTAAAATGCCACCAATAATAGACCTTAAAGAGTGGCTAAAAAGCAGAGCAGTGAATGACACAGCTGAGACACTAGAAGCAAAGAAGCTCTTTATGTCAGGAAACTACAGATAGTGGATTGCTCATTAGCTGATTGTGCAACAAAGCACCATAAGGTATGTGACTGTAATTGTAGCCTTAAGTGTGAAGCTAAGTACGACAACAACTTAGATGATAAAAAGAAGCTGCTGGCAATGAATGGCTAACTACATCAGTGAACAGTAGCCAGCTACAAAGGAAATTAGTTTAAGTGTGTAAAAAGACATTAAGCTAAGTATGCCATTAACTGAAGAGAAAGACAGCTTTCTAGATCACCAGGCAGTAATATGTTGGGATGTGGTTGAAACTGTTTCCAAGGCCCAATCAGTACATTTTGGCCAGATTAAATTGCAGGTAGATTGACAGACTGTAGGTAAATTTTAGATAATGGAAGAAAATAAAATGCATATATTGTGTATGTGAGCATCACTGTAAATATGTTCAAATACCACAGAAGCAAACCAACATCACAAAAAAAGAGTCTAGATTTATTGTCTACTGTGAATCAGTATATTAAAGTAAAGGCCTTAACTTGAGAGTGATTGCAGGTTGTTATTATGCAGTTTGCATTCTGGCTGATGGACTGCGCACCAGAATTTAAATCACCTTTTTAATGCTAAAAGTCAGTGAGAAGAGGAAAACAACAGTGGATCCATGACCTTGCA